AAAAAATGAATAAACCTATGGATACCTTCGATTTTGAAAATTTAACTTTATACAAACTACAAAGTAAGTAGTTATCACATTACTGCACACACTTAAACACTCAATAGCAGTAAACCACAAAACAAATATTGGTGAAATGACTGGGTATCTTATATAAAAAAATGAAATTCACTTAAAAATTTACAGATGAAGCTAACATCGCTATTCAGTCTTTTGAAGACGATGTATTTGATGCCATATGTCCTTCACCTATTACTTCATGTGTGCGGTGTGCTGTGCATACTCTACAACTATGTATTCTGGAAGGGTTTAAAAATGCACCAATCACCAGTTGCATAGTTCAAGCGAGAAAGGTACAATTTTAAAAGTTTACCTTAATAATGTTTATGTTGGTTAGATGATTAGGTATAATGATTATATTTATGCTAATTTTTTTATTATTTTACAAAATCAGGTGGTGAAAAAATTGAGAACACCTAAGTATGCCACTTGGCTAAAAAGAAAAAACCTCAAGTATGCTATAATAGATAATGAGACACAATGGAACTCAGTCTTTAATATGCTATTTAGATTATTAGAGTTGAAAGAGTTTTGCCAAGCCCATCATAGCACTAATACTGAACTCAAATTAAAAAAAAGTGAATGGGATTCTATTCAAAGCATAGTAAGTTTTTATACTTAATATTTAGTATTTTATTTTAACTTTTAATTTAAAAGTATTATTTATCATACAGTTAATATTGATTGTTATTAAAATTTAAAAGTTTTTAATTTTTGAATATATTAGTAACTAATAGATATATTATTTGTATATAGGTTGATGCATTAACGCCTGTTAAAATAGCTACTCTTGCTCTTCAAAAACAAGACATAAACCTAGGTGACTTCTATGGAATATGGCTTAAAGCATCCCATGGTCTCCAGTCTAACGGTACCATTTTAGCTAAACAGATTTTGAAATCTATGAAACAGCGTGAGGTGTTATTATTGAAGAATCCTGTGTTTTTGGCAGGTTTGTTTGACTAAATATAATTATCATCATGATCATACACAATACCTTATGTTTATATCCTACAGTTAAAAATTAATTTAAAGACTCGTAAGGTGGTGTTGCTGTTTACCAAAACATTATTTATTCTTAACAAAAGCTTAAAAAAGTTTATATGTTCTTATGTCTTATATATTTGTTTATATCTTTAAAAATTATATAATAAAAGAAAAACATTATATTATTGTGTGTACAGTGTACACGGGAGTCCTAAAAACAGTGTACACATTACATATTCACTACCTATTAAGAATGCTGTTTTCTGCTGAATAATTGGTCTCTATTTAGTATTTGGTAATAATTGAAACTTTTTTTTTAGCAATTTTCCTCGATCCACGTTATCAATGTATGTTAAATGAAACTGACAAAAATACTGGGATTAATCATTTAATTAAAACATGGTCATTTATGATTCAGATACAAGATAATGTCTGTCAAACTGATGTCGATAACTCAGCTATAGGTTAACACTGATTAATAAAAACAATTATTTTAACTTATAATG